TTAAACTAGCCCTAGTAAAGAAGTTAATATAGATTAGTAGTTTAGGCACGAGAATTAGGGATTAGGAAGGGAAGACAGCGCCCATAAGACTATGTAGAGTAATAGCTATAGTATTCTTAGCCTTAAATAGATAGAACTAATAAACTAGTATTAGTAGAGCCTTTTCCGCCTCTATAAAGGACATCTAGAAGGCCTTATTAAAGAAGCCTAAACTAGACCTAAAGGTACACCTCCCTAAAGCCTTTAAGGATCTATAGCCAACCTTCTATTAGGAGTGAGCTAATAAGCTTCCCCCCTACTAGGGGCCTAGAGTGGACTATGCGATACCTCTTATTAATAAAGATGGGCGAGACCCTAAGATCCCCTACGGCCCACTATATAACATGTCCTGGGAGGAGCTTCTAGTCCTCTAGAAGGAGTTAATAGAATATCTTAATAAGGGATTTATCCATATTAGTAAGTCCAGCGCTATAGCGCTAGTTCTATTTACTAAGAAACTAGGGGGAGGACTTCGTTTCTGCGTAGACTATAGGGCCTTAAACGTATTATTTAAGAAGGATTAATACCTACTTCTACTAGTAGGAGAGATACTCTAGCTCTTTATAAAGGCCTAATAGTTTATGAAACTTAACGTAATATAAGCCTTCTACAAACTCTAGATTGCTAAGGGTAAGGAGTGGAAGATGGTATTCCATACCTAATTTAGGCTATATAAATGGTTAGTCATGCCTTTTAGGTTAGCAAACGCCCTAAGTATATTCTAGAGATATATTAACTAGGTCCTATAAGAACATTTAGATAACTTCTATTTAGTATATATTAACGACGTACTTATCTTCTCTAGTGGCTTATATTTGGACTATGAAGGCAAGGTCTAAACCGTAATTAAGAAACTAGGCGTAGCCGGCCTCCACCTTAATATAGGGAAGTTGGAGTTCTACGTTAAGAAGACGAAGTACCTCGGCTTTATAGTAGAAGCTGGCAAGGGAGTTAGTATAGACCTAGAGAAGGTAAAGGTGATTAAGGAGTAGGAGGCCCTAATAATGGTAAAAGGGGTCTAGAGCTTTATTAGCTTTATAAACTTCTATAGGTAGTTTATTAAAGACTTCTCTAGCGTCGCTAGCCTACTAATAAAGTTAACTAGGAAGGGAGTTAACTTCTCCTAGGGATAGGACTAGTAGCACTCCTTTAAGTTCCTAAAAGACCTCTTCTATACTAAGCCCACACTCGTACACTTTAACCCTAACTAAGAATTGGTCCTAGAGGCTAATATATTAGGCTGGTTAATAGGTAGTTACTTCTCCTAGTATAATAATAATGGGGTTCTATAACCTATTACCTACTTCTCTATAAAGAATAGCCCCACCGAATATAATTACGCTATCTATAATAAGGAAATGCTAGCAGTTATTAAATACCTAGATAAATAGTGTAAGGGGCTAGGCCCCGATAGTAACACACGATGATGGTGCCCAGAATACTGGTCCTAAGAGGAGCATGAGAATAGGGATTAATTACTAATAAGCTATCGAGAGGGAGCGATCAAGCTATATAGGCAGAGGCAGAAGAGGATTGGCATATTCGGGCCGAATACTAATAGGGATCTTTAGGGG